CGTAAATTGAAGAACTTGAAGTTCTTAAGTTTGATTCAATTAGTTTTAGGTTGTGCTTCTTAGTTTTAATGTTGCTTCAGGTGTTCCGAGAGTTCGAGCGAGTCCGTTTTATAATTCCAAACTTGTTGGTATGTTCGCGCGGGGCCCCGGGGGCCCCGAGTGTCAATCGGACGAGGCTCGGACCAAGTTGGAAACTTGGAGTAAGAGCTGAAGCTCCCCAGTTCTGTCATAATCGCACCTGCGCTTGGCCAGCCACAGGTGCGAGCCACGAGCCACAGAAGCAAAGAAAGGAGGACAGCCCAGGCACCGCAGGTGCGGAGGTTTTGGCACACCTGCGCGACTGCAGGTGCGAGGTATTTGGTCGCAGGTGCGGGCCTGGGCGCATATCCAATCCCTTGAGCTTGCAGATACGGAGCTTGGTCGGTAGGAGAAAATGCGCACCTACGATGGCTTCTCCGCAGGTGCGGCCAAGGCACCGCAGGTGCAAAAAAGCTGGAGGCAGTGAGGTTCATTTAATACGGGACTTAAACCATTTTTACACATTTCACTCGCTCCTTGGGTGATTTTTGGAGCTTCTTGAGAGGGGTTTTCACCTAGCTTTTGTAGGTAGGTAATTTCTATCTAATCTGAGTTACATACATAGTTTGTGGGTAGATTATAATATATAAATTAGTGAAAATCATGGGTTTAGGTAAAAACCTAGGGTTTTAATAAAAAATGAGATTCTACCACGAAAATGATTATGAAACTTAGTGAAAATCATACATTATGCTCCTAAGGTTATGGGTAATAACTTTCTTCAAACATTTCCAGAATACGGGCATGTAGGCCCGGGAGTGAATTTTAGGAATCTTACATTTTGTGTTGGGTAATCACTTTAATAGTGGGGATATGAACTTTTGAGCATAAATTGATTAGTTTATGTAATGTTTGACTAGTTTCGAGTCGTTTGGCATTGAATTTGGAGGTTTGAGCGTATTCTTGAATTGGGAAGTAGGCTTTGAGACGAGGTCAGTCTCCTTTCTAACCTTGTAAGGGGGAATAACCCCAATAGGTGAATTAAATAAATGTGTGTACCTATTTGTGGGGGATACGTACGTACGAGGTGACGAGAGTCCGTACGTAGCTAGTATTATGCTATTATCCGGGTAGTTTAGGACACGTATCATGCTTTATTTGAAATATTTGCACCCTTACTTGCTAATTTAATTACTTGAGTCATGCTAGAATTTGATAAAAAATTTGTAAAAGGTTAAATCCACTTATTTGAAGAATTGAATGGAATACTTGACTGTAAATGAAAAATTTGTGTTTTCCTTGAAAATAATTGCTATTTGTGGATCGGGCCGAGTGCCTCGGTAGTAAATAAATGCACCTATGATTCGTGCCGTTTGACCCTCCAGCAGTGCACAGTTTAAATATTATGTTAGATCGGGCCGTACGACTTCGGCATAATTTGCGCATGATAATTCCTTAGAACTCTCCATTATTGAAATTGCTTAAATGTCCTGAAATGTAAGCTGTTACATGATATGACTGAATTTGAAATTTATATTTGTGAAAGAAGAACTTATCATTTCCTGTTATTGAGCTTTCGGTATTATCCATGAAATTCATGCTTAGTATAACGCTTTAATTATATTATTGTTAGCCCATAGTAAGTGTCAAGTCGGCCCTTCGTCACTACTACTTCGAGGTTAGACTGGATGTTTACCGGGTACATGTTGTTTATGTATTCATACTACACTTCTGTACTTAATTGTACAGGATCTGAAGTAGGTGCATCTAGTTACCCGTCCGGTGCGCATAGTTGATCCCCACCTCGAGACTTCACGGTGAGCTGCTGACCGTTCTGCAGCTGCTAGAGTCTCCCTTATGTTTTACTTTTCTGTATATTTCCTTTCAGACAGTAAGCTAACATTCTTCTGTAGATTCAACTAGATTGACCACACACTTGTGACACCAGGTCTTGGCACATGTAAACTTATGATTTTGGGTTTGCTTACATGATTTCGATTTGTACTTATTGCTTCTGTTTACTTATGTCACACTTGCAAATTTCTAAATCCTTTTAACAAACAAGGAAATGTTACTACTTAATAATGTATTTAAACGAAAATCCACTAGTTGAGTAGTGTTGGCTTGCCTAACAACTGTGTTGGGCGCCATGACAACCTATAATGGAATTGGGTCGTGACAGCAAATGTGATGTCCCCCTTCGCAATTGTGACTACGAAAATGCGAGACCTGAGGCATTTATGCAAAAACCAGCAATGCTATAATCATTCCAAACACTCTGATATGCGTCTGAAACTTACCCAATCCCTCGGTGCTCCAAACCAAACATCAATATAAGTCTAAAAATATAGCATGAACTCGTTCGCGCGATCAAATCATCAAAATAACATCCGAAAACATGAATCGAACCTCCAAAACTCATGAAATCAACATGAAACTCAAAAACTTCTAAAAACACAACCGCGTGTCCAGTTCCTATTAAATCAACTCGGAATGACGCCAAACTTTGCGGACAAGTTTCTTATGATAAAACACACCTATTTCAAGTCCCGAAATAGAAATCCAAATACGATAGCTATGAAGTCAACCTACGGTCAAACTTATCAAAATCCTACGCCTTTAAATTGCCAACTTTCGGCAAAACAAGACAAATCAACCTACAGACCTCCGAATTCAATTTCGGACATGCGCCTAAGTCCAAAATCACGATACGAACCTATCGAAGCTATCAAATCACCGTTCCGGGGTCGTTTCCACAAAAGTCAAACCTCGGTCAATATTTTTCAACTTAAGCTTCTAAAGTGAGAATCACTCATCCAAATACATTCCGAAACATCCGAAAATCAATCCGACCATGCGCGCAAGTCATAATACACAATATGATGCCACTAAAGACATTAACCACTTAACGGAACCTTAAAGATCAAAACGACCAGTCGGGTCGTGACAAGAAGTCATGGATATTATGGATATTCATATTATTCACCAGTTAATTCCTTTTTATTTGTATTAAATATGGACCAGGTCGGATATTTAATTCATTTTTTGCATTATCCGTTTTCGACTCGCTCATATGCGACTCGACCTGCCCGTTTGCCACTTCTATTAGAGAGTTATATCTATCTATACTATATTAAAAGTACGAAGGCCCTTAGCGAAATACCATTCGTCTTTTTTACCCTTTTAAAAATAGAGTTTACATAAGACAAGATAGTCATTTAATTATTTCTCTAATATTTAGTACTATGATATCAATTAGAATTTTATTTATTAAAATTTTCCTTATTTGAAGGATTACACGGGAAATCCTAATATATAGGGCATCAAAATGAATTAAGTTTACCTTATACCATTCAAACAATTTGTTTATAATTCCCCCCTTGTTCTACGTATATAGACATTAGGAATGTGCATTTGATAAGGATTTCAACGTTAGTCTAATATTTATTGATCTCCTTTATCTAATTATTTTTATATTTTTCGTTACAAATTTTGTTCATGATATTTAATTATTTATTTAATATTAAATTTTAAATCAACTGAAGTTTTAGTTATTAATTAACTCTTTATTTGAATTATGTGGAAAATTTTAATATTTATAACTTTAAATTGATTAATATTTTAATAAATAATTTACTTATTTGAAGTTTTACTATAATTATAATAACTTCCATGTTAATTTTTAACTATTTAAAATTTTAAAATCATCTAAAAAATGTGTTAACCTTTTATATAATATTTGAAGCTACAATCAATAATTATTTGACTTGCAAACGTCATCTATTATAAATGTATAGAATTTACTCAATAATTGTTAAACAACGTACAATCAATAATTATTTTTCTATTAATGTATGCAAACTTAAAACAATAATGATGAAATAATAGAAGATAAAACATATTCTAAATGAGTTGCAGTTAACTATTTTTTCATTTAATGAATATTCTAACAAATGACAGCTCCCTATATTTCTTTATATATTAATTTATTATTGTAAATTAGTGACTCAACATTAGTCATTTTTAAAAAGTATATTTCCACTTAATAATTTTTTCCATAGGAGCTACAGGATAATCTATCGTGATAAAAGTAATTATTTTACTTCTTTTTTCGATATTAAGGCATAAGAATAACAATAATTTTCATAAGATATTCTTACAAAACTCTAAGGACTTTCACCGGGTTGGATTTGAGATCAACATATATATATATATATATATATATATATATATATATATATATATATATATACATTTTATTTTTATTACAACTCAAAGACAATATTGTTTAATAATATTCATGCATACCCTAAGACTAGTCTTAGGGTACGCGATAGTCTTAGGGTACGCGCGTATTCAGCTATTATACTTTGTTTAATCTATTCTTTCTTCGTTTAAAATGGAGTTTTCTTTCTTTATCCAAGCACATAACTATGCATCTGAATATTTCTTTTTATGGAAGAAAGAGCCTAAGATTGTAATGAAATTTACTTACTGTTAATAGATTCTAAATATATTTTTTATATATTATTGTAAATTAGTGACTCACATAGTGATTTTTAAAGCTTAAATTTTCACTTATAACTACTTTTTTTCATATGATCAATCTCATCATGATAAAAGTAATTTTTTTTACTTATTTGTTCGGCATAAAAATAACAGTAATTTTCGTAAGATATTTTTACAGAATTTTAAGGACTTGGTTGGATTTGGGATCAACATATATATATTTTTAAAAGTCATATATATTTTATTTTTATATATGTGATTTAATAATACTTATGTAATTTTTTAAAATTATTTAGTTATTGATATAGAAAACACGCGCAAAGCGCATATCCTAAGATTAGTTTAATTTGATATAAATATTTAAAGAGCCAATATAATTTATTTGAATTTTTTTAAAGTAAAAATGGATCTAAACCCCTTAGTCATATTGGGGCCCCAATTTTCCTTTATTATCATGTGTGCTACAGCTCATTCACTTTACGCAATACCCTCCTCGCTTTCTCTCCAACCAAAAAAGAAACAAAAAGCAGTGGGGAGACGTTTGAATTGGAAATAGGAAGAGAGCAAAAATGGTGGACTTGGCAAGGGTTCAAAAGGAGCTGCAGGAGTGCAACAGAGATGTTGGGGTTTCAGGAATAAGTGTAACCCTTAAAGGTGACAGTCTCACTCACTTGATTGGTACAATCCCTGGTCCTCTTGGTACTCCTTATGAAGGTGGTTCTTTCAAGATCGATATTACTCTTACTGGTAACTCTCCCAATTTCCTTCTACTCTCACTTAACATTCATTTTCTGCATATAACTATTAATGGGTTTTTGTTTTTTTGGGGGTTCTAGGGTTTTGAATTTATAGAACACGTGTATCAAAGAAATGGTGTTTTATTGAGGCTTTCTTGAATGTAAAAATTGAATCTTTTTCAGCTAATGTAGCACATGAAGGAATTACGGATGGACTTTTGTTTAATTTGTTGTCAGGCTCAGGCCCTTATGTTTGGGGGAAGTACGGAAAGGTTCCACTTGAGTCGGACCATTATTAATTACTATAAGTATTTGAAAGCAGAAACATATTAGACTTTCTAAAACATTTCATTTAGACATTTTAACTAAAGGTATGAAAATGTGCCTATTGAACAGCCAGCCAAACATTTGAACGCGTGAGGTTGACATGCTTGATGTGGAAAATCTAACCAATGACAAATAGACATGTTCGATAGCTTTCTCTAACCCGTGCAATTCTTTGCAAAAGTTACAGCATTTACTCACAACATGTGTTTGCGCGCGTTATTGAGGCTTTCTTGTATGTAAAAGTGGAATCTTTTTCAGCTATTGTGGCAAATGAAGGAATTATGTGTGAACTTTTGTCGCTTTGTTTAATTTGTTGTCAGGCCCTTATGTTTGGGGACAGTGCGGAAAGGGTTTCGGTGTCATAGTTAATAGATCGACTTGAATGCAGATGTGTCGAACCATTATTAATTGTTACTCCATTTTATGTGGTAACTCCTAGGGAGCTCAATGTCATGTTGATAAGGAGGATAGTCTAGGATATAGATATCATTGGCATGGTCTACTGTTTATCAGATTTTAGCAGTTTTTGTGTATGAGTATGACTCCTAAATCTAGAAGCTTTGTCTTTGCAGATGGCTACCCATTCGAGCCTCCAAAAATGAGATTTGCCACAAAAGTTTGGTATGAGAGGCAGACATGCTCTATCTTTTCTTTCTATTCTTTATTCTCCTTTGTAGTAACAGGAGTAATGCCTGTGCAAAATTTCATATGTTGAACTGTTGACTTTTGTGATATGAAGTAATAACAAATTGCAGATTACCTATTGGATTATTAATGTTTGTATTTTTTATCAGGTACTGTTTCTTATATAGAACATATTGACAAGTCATGATGTCTCTACTTCAGATTCTTTTAACCGGGCTCATGAAATGTGGTCAAACATCATGAGAATAATACAGTACAAATTTAAATGAGCGGTGGTGTGTGGTAGGTAATGAGGGTGATGAAAGAATTCTAGAACAAAAATATTCCTTCTAGTAAATCTGAAGATTAAAATCATTTGCTAGATACTCAACATTATTTAGTGATATTAACTTCTCTGGAGTTCTAAAATCAAATGCATCAGTGTCCGTAAGGTATCCCTGTGTCTCTCATCTTAAATAGTGTTAAAATGTGCTTCCACAGAAATTGACTACCTCTGGCATGCTCCTTATTTCTTTTTTCCTCTTGATGAAAGCCTAACTTCACATTATTGTTATTGTCATGAACCTATAATTGAAGCGTTCAAGGTTAACATCAGTAAGTCCTCCTTTCTAGATAAATGTAAATCTTATGACGGATATGCTATGATGAAAACATGTTTGGTTTACACATTGCATAACTAGGACTTGAGTACACTACTTAACCATGTTTTTCAATTTCATCAAATAGGTCCAATAGGTGTCATCCTTTCACTGTTGAACTAGAATATAATAGCAACACTTTAGCCAATCTTTGGCATCTGCTGAGCTGAGAGAACCACTTGCACACATTGTTGAAATTGCCTTGATTTGTTCTGTGTTTTTACTTAAATAATATTGATTTATCCTGAAATAAATTTCTCAGAAAACCACGAGCATGACCTTATTGTTATCTCTTACGTTTTTTTCCGTGCCATACACTTTGTCCCAGCATATGCAATTAAAAGCTAGTGTTAATCGCCACCTAATCTATCATAGAAACTCCTCCATTTTGCTCCCTTCCTCAAACACAGCAGCAGAGCAAATGAGCTTGTCGTGTACATTCCAATGGAGCTTAAAGATACAAACTTCTCATTGTAATTCAACCTACATTATCAACATAGAATTGACAGCCACAAATACCCTTTTCACTGTACGCAAGCCTCTCTTTGCTCCTCGCACCTACGCACCAACCACCAAAAGCATAAGCAAAGTAAAGCTTCTGTGTGTACCAATTATATCATTTAAAAAAAATATGCAAGGCAGACATCCTTGGAGGGTGTGATATTTCTACAACAGGATCTTGGCCTTCCAAACAACTAACATTTACATAGACCTTGAATACGGTATCCAATTGAAGTATCAGAAGTAACCCCCCCCCCCCCCCCCCCCCCCTCTTAACGTGTGATATAAAGTTCCTGTTTCCTGCTTCTTCCAGTGGAATTATGATTCAAGTGCTTTTATGTGTTGAATTCCCTTTGAAGGCATCCCAATATAAGTAGCCAAAGTGGAGCAATATGCCTAGACATCCTGAAAGACCAGTGGAGCCCAGCGCTAACTCTCAAGACAGCTCTCCTTTCTATACAAGCATTACTCTCTGCTCCTGAACCTGATGATCCACAAGATGCAGTTGTTGCACAACAGGTGCTTTATATATTCAGTAATAATCCCCCTCCTGCTCCCCCTACCGCATCATAAATCTTGTATGTTTGCTTAGTTTTCATGTTGCTGACCTTGTTTTGTGTCTCGTGCCCTCTTCCCGACCAAATATTTGGTTTCAAATGGTCAATCTGTTTCTTGTTGCAGTATCTCAGAGACCATCAGACCTTTGTTGGCACAGCTCGTTACTGGACTGAAACATTTGCGAAAACACTTGGCACCGAGGAGAAGGTGTGCAATTCTTACATGCTTTTGCTTTCCTTTTTGTTTTTAATTTCCTCCCGCTACTTAGTCTTGGGTACATCTTGCATTTTCCAAATTGCTACTGAATGAGTAATTTGAATACCGCAGATACAAAAGCTTGTGGAAATGGGGTTTCCTGAAGCTCAAGTGAGGAGTACTTTGGAAGCCACAGGTTGGGATGAAAACATGGCACTTGAAAAGCTGTGCTCTGGCTAGCACTGCAACTCATGTTTTGGATGTAGAAGATTATATCCTGCCATCAAAAGCTGAATGACCAAAAAAAGTCATTCAATCATACTGTTACTTGGGCAACCTTGTTTTTGGTATCTTTTATGGTTTGGGGTCGACATATCGCCGCAACTCGTGAACATTCTGATGTCATTTTACAATATCAAGCAAATTGCATATTAGTTTATGATAGGAAGTGCATTTGCATATTAGCTTGCATCATGCTTTCTTCTTTTGTAAACTAATTCTGCAAAGTTAATATATTACATTTTTGGCCATAACCTGTTATTCCCCGATACTTGGATAGAACTGCATTGCATCTTTCTCCTATTTCAATCCTGTCGTTTACACAAAACCATCTTGTTGCAGCCATCTATATTTACTTTTATTGATAAAGAAAAGCTTAATACAACCTTGTATGACTAGCGTACTTCTTTTAATCCCTCAATAAGATGAAAATATCAAACTGAATAACTTTTCTCCTAATTTTGAGTTAATATGTTATTTCTTGATTTTGTCATCAAAAGTTTGACCTTTAAAAGTCGTAGTGTTGGGCTCATGATTTGCCTATAAGATGTTACAATTGATTCCATGGCACTGAGCCTGATGAGTAATGATACTCGACTATAATTGTCAAGGGCATTAGACATATATGACAAGTAAGTGTATAGGGCTCGTATTGGTGAATCAACATTCCAAAGTGGGAGAATATTTAGCTGTGTATTCACATGGACCAACGTTTGTCTCAGTATGGATTCAATGAAACTACGAATATTTGGTAAATTAGAGGGTGCCCAAAACTATCTGAATGTTAGTTTTCAAATTTATATACAACTAATAATAATTTTGTCCGCGAGAGATCTCATCGAGTTTACTATTGCCTTTTCTAAATATATGATTATTATAATAACAAAAAAAAAAAATAATGTGATGGACAGTACACCTCATAATAGTTAGGCCAATCGGTCAGTCATACCAACAAAATACAGATAAGCTTTTTTCTAATTGTTCTCAACTTGCCTCAGCAATTCTCAATGCTAGTTTTCACGTTACAAGTTTCACGCATTTTTTATACTATTTTTTAGTTTAAAGACAACTTGTATGTTTAATCAAGAAAGTGCATTAGTTCACTATAATGTGTGTTTGTGTCTTTACCATAATCACCATTGTCTAATGTATTACAGATTAATTAAGACCAGAAGTCTACAGTTTGTTTTGGCTCCCAACACAAAACTTAAATTACAAGGTTACGTTACTATACCAATATTGGCACCAGATTTAATTTCTTCAAACTCGTTGTTCTTCAACGGTTCGAAAAACTCAAAAGCAAGCTATGACTATCAAGAAACCAATATACTGGTCCACAAAGCATATGTCGTAACCTATTAATAAGAAATTGACAAAACAGGAAAATTAAAAAAGAAAGAGAATCAACAAAATTCTATAGGTAGAACACAGAAACATAGGAGATATATAAATTGCATCGCTGAACAGCAGGTGATGTATTCTTCAAACATCTTTTCAAAATCTAACTACTCCAAAATGCCTAAAACATGGAAAACAATCATCAATTGGTCATTAATTTTCACAAATTAAATGTGATGAAGTAACAAAAAAAAAATATCTTCAAGAAAAACGTCTTGCCATATCAGAAACATTTATTTGACGATGTGTGTGTGTGTGTGTATATATATATATATATATATATATATATATATATATATATATATATATCACATATATCGATGGCTTCATTCGTTTCTTTCTTTTTTTTCTTTTTTCTTTTGTAGCTTACAGTTACTGATATGACCCTTGGTGATCAACTAAATGAAAAACGTGTCTATAATAAATAGGAGAAGAAGAAAAAACCAAATAATTAGAGTTTTTTGGACAAAATGAGAAGGGAGAAAAGAAACGTCGTGTTCTTTCTTTCTTGGACATTACCATTGCAACAGTCGCATTTCTTCAAAGATATTTAATTTGAAGAAATAAATGGCATTTCTAGTATAAGAGAAGATGATGCCACGTCGCCTCTATTCTTGCTTTATAATTTATATATACAATCCTATATATAATGTAAATACTGCTCAAGAAGTGATCTACAAAGAAGATATTTATTCAATTTCATTATCAATAAACAAACACTACCGAAATGACCCAAAATAAGACAATGTTTTGATCTTATTTAAATATAAAAAAGTTGTAAATCTGACTGGAGTCTTTTTTTCTTTTTTCTGGAAATCTGACTTACGTCAGATAATACTAAAGCTCTCAATTCGATTCAAATCCATAACGATGTTTCCTAAAAATTATCACTTGGCTTATACTTGTAACTCGTGTTTCTTTTACCCTGTTTTGATACATGAATGAATAAGAAAGAGAAAGGAGCAAAAGCGTCTCGAGAACAATAAATAAAAGTGAAAAATCTATATCGTCTGTCCACGTAGAGTTGGTGTTCCCTTGAACAATTTATAGCAACAACAATTGAGATACGACTGGACAAAGAAGGAAAAAAAACAGTTGCATTGGATTTTGATACTTCCCAGAACGTATGTATTTTCTGATAGAATGTTTTCCTGAAAGTATCACAGAGAAGGCCATAGAAGCTGAAAATTTTATTCTCGACAAGTGTTATATCCTTGTATGTTGAAATATCTGGCGGCAGATTTCCTCTGCTAATTTAGTTTACAGTTTAGCTGTTTTTACAGTCAACTAAACTTTCCAGAAGATGGCAAAAACAGAAGCATCCACTCACAGGCGGATAAAGAATCGATATCCACAAAAAGGAGGTAAATGCTTGGAACAACAAGATCTTGTTGGACCAAAGCCTACGCAGCATTTGGAACTCTAATTTAGGTACTTGATCGGTAACAGGCCCTCTTTGCTGCGCGAATAATGTCTTCTACCTGCGTCAGAAAATTCAAATACTTCATAAGGAAACAAAAACCAGCTATCAAGTTTCAAATGCAATTCGCTGCTAAAAGATGGGAAGAAATATTAGCTATGCAGTTATTCATTGTTTGTTTCAAGTAGTACCTTTAATCTTTATACCTTCAACTTCCATGCACATTGTTTGCAATTTGTATGGACATGATATATGGACTTTCATATACTAAAACTGAAATCTGGTGTTTTGTTACTCTTCTCCATCTTTTTTCTACTTAGGCTGATAAAATGTGAGGCATATTGCAATATGGACAGTCAATCAGTCAATAATGTCTCAATATCAAATTACTAAACATGGGAATATGGATCATTGTATTCATTCAGCTCTATCCGGATCAATTTGATACTAATACTAACTAATGCCTTTTAAAGCAAGTTAGATGTCCACTAATGCCTTTTAAAGCAAGTTAGACGTCCACAAAATCATTACATGTATCACTACACTAACATACAAGTCCCTAACCAGACTGACTAAAAAAGTTCTTAGGAAACACCTGACCTAGTTTAAGTGTAATAAAAACAACTAAACTTTATTAGTCTAATTCCAACTAGTTGCCTATATAGATCTTTTACTTCGATTATATTCCAAGTCCACATTGATCTGAGAAATTATAGCTCTTTTGAGATAATTTTCTCCATGTGATTTTAGGTTTGCCTCGTTCTCTTTCAGAAACTTCCAACTGTCGAAGTAGTTCACCAATGGACTGGTGCATCTAAGAGGTATAAATAGGATATGATCAAAACCACTTAACACATATCTAGGATGTGATCATTTTAATCATGTCCAATGTTGTATAATCCCACATTCTTAACATCTGCATTTCTTTGACTTTATCTTGTGTATATGCTAAGGCCCCAAAATCTACACCAATAGAACATTGTTGGACAACCGTTGTACAACTTGCACTCATTATTTAGCAACATAGTCAAAACATATCTACCCTGAGCATTGGACCTCTGAATACTTGGCTATCAATAACCCTCGTTGACAAGCAAGAGATATTACTCGTGGATGTTGCATTGGCCAATTGATCCTAATATGTCCTTCGACCAGTTCATCCTCTTGCCCGAGTGCATCAGACCCTAATCCTTCAACATTATACAAATGTTTAGAGACACAGAGAGTTTAACGCTCAGCCCTGTTGGGATTATTTCTTTTTTCATCCAGTTAATATCCATAACTATGTTACATGACTTGTTTATGGTACGTATCCTGCACATGTGTGTATAAATATCTGGCACCGATATGCAGAGTTTTTTGCTAATATTTAATGTATCTTCGAGAATCCGCATGACCCATGCATCTGCACATCCGTTCGGCAGAAATACATCAAGGCAGGAAGATATGAAGAATCTATGTAATATAGGCCATAACTAGAATCATAAACTACAAAGGACCCAACAAAACCACCAATTTGTGATTTATTAAAAGATAACAAACCCAATGGGTGAGAGCTAAAGATATCTTCAACGACAAACCTGTGGAACAGCCATTCTTTCAAGATTAGCTGCGTATGGCATAGGAACATCAGCACCTGTTATCCTCTCAACTGGTGCATCAAGATACTCAAAGCTCTCCTCAACCACAGATGCACTAGTAAAATTAGGAAAATATAATCAGTAAGTTTTACTGAAACAAAAACCGGAACAAAGGAGGTCAAATTTTTGGTGGGTTGGGGAGGAGGGTTTGAGTTGTGTGTGAATGGGTTATGGTCTAAGACTGTTAAAAGAAAGTAACCAGATCTCAGCGCCAACGCCATGTTGTGGGAATCCTTCTTCAACAGTTACAAGTCTGTTGGTTTTCCTCACAGATGCATTAATGGCGGGTCTATCAAGTGGTCGGATCGAGCGCAGATTTATAACCTGATTACAGAAAAAAAAATGACAAGTGAAAAGCTGGAACTTTTTATGCATACTAGTAATACCTCAGCACTGGACATGAACTCAGGAGTCATACCTCAGCACTAATTCCTTCCTTAGTAAGAATTTCAGCAGCCTATAAAAGTTAATATGTTATAATCGAAACAAGTATAACTAAAGACAAGGTCATACTATATATTGTTTATGCATCAACATCAAATCCAAGCAATATTATTATCTCTTGTGAAGTTCCACTCTAGCAAACGAGCAGATCGTAAGTTGTATGAGACTATTCGAAGAATAGTCTCATTTGTACTAGGATCTAAACTTCAGCAGTTACGAGTGAATACTTACTAATTTAACACAATCCAACGCTTAAAATATTATTTTACTTATCAAAAAGAAAAAAAAAAGCTTAAAACAATCCAAGACACAGAGAAAAAAATAAAAGCTAGTTGCTCAAAACCAGTCAAATTCAAGCCATCTACAAGTCCCGAAACAGAAGGAATTCTGTTTGAATCAGAAAGGAGACAGATGAATGACACTTCAAAGCTGAAAGCTGTCAAATGATTCAAGACTTGCGATAATAGTCCCCAAACTCATAAAGAAAAATCTTAGATTCAGATAGAACCAGCATTGCTATCAGGTACAGATATCCTTCTACTGTCATGTGCCTCATCGGTTGGAAACAGTTCTTCTGGATTCATTAACCGTCTTTCCATAATCGGAGAAACCGTCAAAATTTTGTCACAGAGTATGATGCTCGAATTCATTCAGAAATGGTCCAAACACTGTTAAGGAAAATGATGACAAACCTGAAGAGCATAGCCAACCATCTTTGAGAAGGCAGTGATTGTCACATCCTTTCCTTCGCGTTCTATCTGCCAATGCTTGTAAAATAAGGAACAATAGCCCATAAGATGATACAGAAAAAACAATGTAATACACCTGGATCAACTTGCCTTAGCTTTTCCGATGGGAAGACAGAAACTAGAATCAAGAGCTTCTGCTGAAACAGGGAAAGACTCACCATATCTGTATCATGAAAATCAAACATCGAGGATAGATTATGAGAAGGAATAAAGAAAACAGTTTTCAATAACTTAACCAGTAAAGCAACTTACAGCAATTCATTTTCTAGAAACACAACTGGATCGGGATCCCTGATAGCAGCTTTGAGCAAGCCACGAGCATCTTCGGAAGAGTATGGAGCTAGTACCTTTAATCCTGGACAGGAACCAAACCATGCTGCATAGCACTGCAAAAATAAAAAAGAAAGGACCATAGAACTTTATGCAATAGAAAAGTGCTTGTGGCACACACACATTGCTGGAGGTTGAAAGATAACTTCAACGACAACTTTAAATAACTGACTAAACAACCCAATAAAAACAAGAGAACAGATCCAAATATGCCCCTGAACTATGAGATATGTTCATCCATGCCCTCCATAAATAGTTCGGTTCAACATAGTCCTAGCCGCTACAAAACTGGTATTTGCACTTAATGACTAGAGACTATTCAGTACTCCCTTCCGTTTAAATTTATGTGGCACACTTTCCTTATCCGTTTAAAAAAGAATGACACATTTCTATATTTGAAAACAATTTAACTTTAGACTTTTTATTTTATCCATTTCACTCTTAATGAGAAGTTTTTATAGCCAAACAAATGTTATGGCCCCACAAAGCTTTTACCCTTTACGCTTTAACACCACAAGTTTCAAAATTCTTTTTTTCATAAACTTCGTACCGAGTCAAATCATGTCAAATAAATTGAAATGGAGGGAGTATCTAATTGGATTGATTAGCACCAGAATTTGCCACATGTCCATCACATGGCTAAAAATTAAACCCAACCTTTTTATTCCCTTCCCCTTTTACTACCCCACCCTTTTACCCACCGCTAGTGGTGATTCTTTGAGAAAGAAAGAAAAGAATGGAGGGGCCTGTATCAGGCTCGAAGGCCTGAAGTTGTCTTAGGGACCCCTCCCCCCAGGGAGCTCGCTTTTCACTAGTTTAGTTGTTGATTACATGATTGTTGCAGGTGCAATTTAAGGGAATGTAGTGACTGGTAAAGTTAACTTGGTGTATTAACACATAAAATCATCTATAATGGATTTGATGTCTGCATTAGCAAGTTAAGTGACAAGAGGGTCCGTGCCAAAGTTCTGCTCCAACAGTAGGAAAGTGGTCCTGTCTGTATTCAAAACCCCTTAATCACATCTTGTGCCTCAGCAATCCCTTAGCTAAGTTACCTTGCAGTGCACCAGGTGGTAGGTAAAAACCATCTCCCTGTCTACTAACCATCTTACTGTCCACTAATGTAATTCATACCACTTGCCATCTATATAAGAGTTATTAACTAAAGCCAACAACTTTAAAAAACAATCCATTCAAAACAACGAAAGCAGAATATTAAAGAATCTAGAGTAACAGTCTTGTCTACTTCTGCCTATTGGCTCCACTTAAGAATCAATTCCATCAATGAACATGGTGAGCACATCATGTTTTCAGTTCATAGATATACCTGAGAATGTTGGGCACCGACACCAGCTGCAGCACCATTAGGACCCCTGAAAACAATGGGCACAGATATCTGGCCAGCAGACATATAATTTGATTTTGCAGCAGAATTGATGATATGGTCAATTGCCTGCAAAAAAAAATAGAGAAAATACATTATGCATGTGGTCGGGGTTAAAAACTATAATATAAAAACTATGCAGTGAATTTGCGGGAACCCACCACCTCATATGCTTGTCACATTTGCAGACAGGAGATGTCATAATCTTATTCTAGGTCTCCTATAGACACGTGTTCATAGACAGGTGAGGAAAGGATGCTATTTGGTCAGGGAGACAAATATACAAGAAGTCAATCTCCCAAAAAATAATAGTTGAAGGAAGAAATTTCTACCTATCTCCACAACAAGCCCCCTACAGATATAATCTAGTCGGCCACCAAATAGTACATCAAATGATCAACAGCCATTTACAGTTCCAGCCACTTAGGTATTAGCTATAATGTAATGCATCAAACCGTAAATACTCCTGGACCTTCAATGTAAAGAAGGTCCCCATCGACTTCCTACTTTACCTGGGTGTGTGAAGACATTGCTTCAGAAACAAAGCAATCTCCTACTGTCCTTTGTTTTAGATCATGATTCTATGAGTGTAACATAAATTTAAGCATGGAAGTCATTGTCACTATAGTTCTTTCTCAAAAAGTCATTGTCATTTATAGTTTTGTGCATTAGGTGGCTGCTCGCATTTTACTGATTGAAGTAGTAGCGGCTATTAAAAATTCAGTAATAGTTGGTTCAGAGACTAAAAATACCAAATTTAACTTTTGAAGTTGAAGAGAATAGTCTAAGTTCCCGTCGCCCATTAGTATTGTGTTTGAATTTTTTTTGCAATACATTTAATTTAATAAGCACAATTCCAGAAGAACACCATATTAGAACTACTAACTAAACTCCAAAACAATCATACACAATCCAAATTGTTTGCATGCTTTGCTTAAAACAATCATTCTCAATCGACCTCCCAAAAGTCCACATCATATTGATGGTATCACGACCCAAGTCCATGGCATGTATTGTCTGCTTTGGCCCAACAGACCTTACGGATTTGTACCTTGGGCTACGCCATCATCGAGCCCAAAAACGCGCGTACCATGTAAACTTGTGCTATGCCATTCCGATGTGGGATTTGCCTAAGGTGACATGTTCCCCCTTCTTCAGAAACTTGCCAACCTAGAAGCATGTCAGTTCTACTTGACCCACCCTCCGTCATTGGCATTCACAAATGGGTACCGTGAACTCATTCAGACATAAAATACATATGGGCATTGTTCAATGACATTGTTGGATGATCTTCGAGTAAGAACAAATAGATCAATAAATATTAAAAGAATAAACAACAATTCTAAATGAGAACAAAAGTTCAACCTGCATGGAAAAGTTAAATGTCATGAATTCGATTATGGGCTTTAGACCATGGTATGCTGCACCAACTCCAATTCCAGCAAACCCAGCCTAGGAAAGAACAAAAAACGGTTTAAGTGCTTTATCATGTATGTTCAAGAAAGAAAGGAGCAGCAGCAGTTTCATAATTGAAGCAGAAGGAACAACCTCAGTAATTGGTGTATCAAGAACCCTTTCCGGACCATATTTATCCAGAAGCCCCTTCGTAATCTAAAAAGAAAAAAGAATAAAAGAGATGTTCAGGCACTAAAATAGATGATCATCAAGGGCAAATAATGCATGATAATAATGCAAGACTTGAGAAGATAGTGAAAAGAACCATTTCTGACCTTATAGGCTCCTTGGTACTCACCAACCTGAGTAAACATCACACGGATTAAGATTTCCTTTTTTTGATAAGTAAATTAAATAACACATATCAAAATTAAAAGAAAAACATTATTAGTGATAAATATTTGCAGCAACAAGAACAACCACCTCAGCAACAATAACTATGTCTCAGTGCCAAACTAGTTAGGTCGGCAAATATTTGCAATAACACGGCATGCCACGACAATTATCCTCAATTCCAAACTAGTTAAGGTTGGCTACATGAATCTTCTGTATCAGTTCTGCTCAATTAGGGCCCATTTCACAGATAAAAGTTTGCATTTTAAGAATCTTTAAGCAAAAAACTTGGATTGTACCTCTTCTCCCATAACAAAGACCTTAGGATCCGCAGACATTTCTTCATCTAGAGCTGAATTTAGCGCGTCACGCACTGTCATCTACAAAGAGATTAAATGCTTTCTCCATCAACAACATTAAACATTAGGCAAATGCATATAATTAACAAATTTAAAAAGAACAAAAAGAATCACCTCTTTAGCTGACGAAGAATAAGTTCTAGATGCAAATACCCTGCTTCCCATCAAGAACTGATTCTGAAATAGTAAATCCAAATTCACCAATTTTTTTGTCAGAAAAAGATACCAAAATCGATCCAAAAGAAATACTCCAAAAACTAAAACAATTAATTGATTCTCACCAAAGCAGAAATCTTTCTGCTGGCCATTGTTCGACCTATGATTCCAGACATATCTGCCCCTTCTTAGCTTATCAAAATCCTAATAATAATAATTATTACAAATGCATATAAGTCAAATCTGCTCGAGGAAAAGCAGGATGCATATACACAAACTCATATATTGATCAACCAAAACATACACATACAGGGTGCATATATGGATAACAATAATCTCAACAAATTGCCAAAACTGGATCTGGGTTTTAGTTATTACTACTATTATGATTATTAGTAGTATTATTTTTGGGTGTGGGTTTGTTGAAGGGGAACGAACCTGTTAGACGCTTCGTAGTGGCACAGGGCACAAAGAATAGTAGAAAAGTATGCGCTACCAAAAGAACCCAAAATGGACAAAAGCGTTTTCCTATATGTTTGTTTACCTTATATAAATAAATAAATGGATAATATTATTGGCGCCCAACGAGTACTATATATATTGTGGGACCCGATTCATTCCGACTCCTCTCTCCCTTTAAGACGAGCGATACAACCCCCACACACACCCCACACACACCCCCACCCCCACCCCCACACACACACCCACCTCCCACCCAAATATTGTCTTAATGTCAATGGGTACCACGGAATATGGCTGCTGTGAATATTAACCATTCTCCATCTAATTTCTTTTTCATAATATTCCTCCCACCATTTCCCCGTCTTTTCCCCTTTTTCTCCCGTTCCGTTTTTGGGCTCTTGGGACTTCTGAAGGGTTACTATTGGACATATAGATGTAGCATTGACTTATGATTTTCTTTCTATATAAATGGTTTAATATAGTACACTACTAGTACAATCAAATATAGACTGAGTTTGGATTGTGAGTTTATGAGTTTTGAATTTTGAAATAAAAATAATTGAGTTATAAATAAATTCATTATACATATTAAATTAATTTTTTAATACAAATACAAAATCTGAATAAAAGTTATAAGATTCTGCCGAACTCAAAAGTGGAAATGTAGGCCATTCTCGTGTCTTCTCATGAAAATGGTAAAATCAAAATGCTTAACCTTTTTTTTCTTTAATTTATCTATAACATACATTTCCTCGAGTCTTATTTTGCAAGTGAGACATCTAAGCAAGACTTGGGCGATGACATGGTTAATATACGATCCTAGATAACTCGGTCAGAGCGGAGAATAATGAGGGTAACCTGAATTATCTAGAGGACCGTTGACTCACTCCAAGTCCAAGAACGCCCAAGGGATGCACGCTAAGAAACTGCATGATCTTCAAAAATTAACTAGAAGATGCTTAGAGAGTCACTTTGAGGATTCATACAAAGAATACATGTTTGGAGTCTTGAGAATTGATTAGAAGATGTTTAGAGAGTCACTTTGAGGATTCATGTAAAGAATATCATGTTTGAAGTCTTGAGAATTAAAGTATCAAGACCCCAGCCCAACCTGTGTGACACGGTTTCACTAACCATTGGCTACAGTTCAAGAGGGGCCTGAAGAGTTGAAGAAAATAAGCTTTTGGAATTTGACACGGTTCAGCTGTGTGACACAGTTGGTGTAATGACCCGATAGGTCATTTTGAGTTTTAGCCTTCATTACCGTATTTCGAGACCTCGAGTAGCTCCGTTTAGTGTTCCTCGTTTTATGTGCACAGTCCGTGTCTTGTTTCGAAAAAGTTTTTATGTGAAAAATTGAAAAAAAAATGTGAAATTTTGCCTTAAAAATAATTTGAGTTGACAACGGTCAATATTTTATGTAAACGGGCCGGGATCAGTATTTAGACGGCCCCGGTGGGCATGTGTCGTTATTTGGGACTTGGGCGTGTGCCCAGAATCGAATTCAGAAGTCCCTAACTTGATTTAATGTGATTCATTGAAAACTAGTAATTTGAAGGTTTAAAGAGTTCCAAAGTTTGACCGTAGGTTGACTTTATTGTTAGCGGGTTCGGATTTCGGTTCCGGAACTTGGAATAGGTTTGGAGCCCCGAGGGCTCGGGTGAGTTTCGGACGCGTTTCAGAGAGTTCATAGGAGTTCAGATTTTTATGGTGTTCAGATCTTGCATTTGCGAGCAATAGGTCGTATTTGCGAGCAATAGGTCGCATTTGCGAGCTTCATCATCGCATTTAGGAAGAGTACAGTGGCCTGGCCTGGGCTTGGTCGCATTTGCGATTACTATGATCGCTTTTGCGAATTGTCCATGTTCGCATTTGCAAACAAATCGTTGCATTTGCGATGACATCGGGGATGTAAGGTTTTTCGTTTTCGCGATGGATTCCTCGCATTTGCGTTCGCATTTACGTACCTCAGGTTGCAATTTCGACACCTGCGACTGGACAAAAAGCCGAGGGACGGTATTTTTAGCCTCATTTTCATATTTTGGAACCCTAGGCTCGGTAGGAGGCGATTTTGAAGATGGAATTTTACAAACTTTGGGTGAGTGATTTTAATCCATTTCTATTCATATTCCATCAATTTATCTAAGATTTTAACATCAAAATCATGTGAATTAAAGTGAAAAATTGTGATACCTTGTCAAGTTTTGAAAAATAAGAAATTGAGTTTTGAGAGTCGATTTGGACTCAGATTTTGAAACTAATCATGTATATGAACTCGTGGGGTCAAGGATAGTCGGAATCTATCATTGGACCCGGGTTTTAACGGGCGAACCCCGGGTTGACTTTTGTTGATTTTTTGGAAAAAGTGTAAAGATCTTAGTTGTATCTATTGTAATTGATTTCTCTAGCATTTTCTGATGATATTAAATCGATTTTGGTTAGATTCGATTGGTTTGGAGGCGAATTTTAGAGGAAAGCTTTGATTGCGGAATGAGGTAAGTGTTGGGTCTAACCTTGATTTGAGGGGAATTAGGAACCCTTGAACTATATGTTATGTGAATTACGTGTGAAACAGCGTATATGCGAGGTGATGAGTGTATATGCGCCGTCAAAATAATTATTTCCATGTTTTTCTCGTATTTCATGAATTATCTCATTCCACGCCTTAACTGTTACATGTTTTGTTACTTGTCATTAGTTATTCTTGTATTGAATTGTTTGTCCCTTCCATGACTCTGTGATTAATTGCTACTTGATTTAACTGTTTTACTTGCACACCTTAATTGTCACGTACTTGACTTGTTTTTTTGCTTTTGTAATATTTGTTGCATTCCTTGATTATTACGTGGTTCATTTATTTCCTTGTGCTCATACTCTTTGATTGTAGAAATTCTTGTAAATTGACTTATTGGATTGTTGATGTTTATTAAAATTGTTTGCGGATCGGGTTGCACTCCGCAATGGGAATTGAAGGATAATAGATTGAAATGGTAGAATAAGAGAGGATTTTGATATCGATTATAATGATATGGTGAGATCGGGGTTGTGCGCTGCAATGGTTGTGTATGTAATACTTGATATTGATAAATGATATTATGGTGCAATAGGGGAGGATTATAACATTGATTATGATGATATGGTGGGATCGGGTTGCACGCCGCAACGGATCGTATACGTGATTCTTGATTTTGATAAACGAATGCTATGGTGAAATAAGAGGGATTGTGTGTGTACGATGGGATCGGGTTCCGCGCCGCAACGGATTGTGTGTGTTGTACTCGTTGTTGTTATTGTGTTAGTTCTCAACATTTTATATGAAATTATGAGGTCTGTTATTCTGGGTTTTTTGATTGTGAGGTTGAGTTCATTTTCGTAAATTATCTGCTTTATTTTCATTCCTGTTTTCTTTCCTTGTTATTATTATTATTACTGCGTACATGTTATTGTAAGTGGCCCGTATTAGCCTCGTCACTACTTCGTCGAGGTTAGGCTCGACACTTACAGAGTACCTAGGATCGATTGTACTCATACTACACTCGGCACTTCTTGTGCAGATTTCGGATTGGGTCCTAGCGGGGTTCAGTAGATTTGCTCGAATCCAGTTGTTGACAGAGACTTGAGGTCATCTGCATAGCGTTCGCAACCCTGAAGTCCCCTCCCCTCCTATCTTTGCTATTTTCCTGAGTTTCAAAATAGTATATTTTATTCAGACCATGTTTTTAGCACTCTAGATGTCCATGACACCAATTTCTGGGTTATGTTTAGACTCGTTGTTCCGTATTATTATCATACTTGACTTCAGACTTGTACCATTTTTATTGTTAATATCCTGTCAAAAAGTGTTAAAATCAGTTAATTTTCTGTTCACGTCGGCTTGCCTAGCAAGTAGATGTTAGGCGCCATCATGACCCAGAGGTTGGAATTCCGGGTCGTGACAGTTGGGGTTACAGTTGAGGTTACGGTTTGGCCTGGCGAGCTGTTTTGAAAAATTAACTTTGAAACTTTTTCCTATTTTACCCATTGGTATTTAGAAGAGACTAGGATTATTTCAATAGCCACTTAGCATATTTTTACTTAAGAAAACTCTTGAGAGAGATTTGGAACCTTTTGGTTCGAGTTCGACTTTGGATTACCTATTTTCAAGGATTGGATTCTTGAGGGTAATCTTCTTCTCCTTCCTTTATATCTAGGGTTCCTACTTTGTTCTTATTGGGAGGCGATCAGATAATTTTCGTTTTTTGCTTGAGATTAGGGTTCTAGATTCCTTCTCTATCTCATTATTCAGACTACTTTCGATTATCTTAATCAAATATATCATTAGTTTGCTTTAATTATTGTTATTTTCAAATTCTGCTGGTTATGTTTATTTCAAATCATATCATTAATAGGCAAATCATTGCAAAGACAACAAGATGTAGGCCGTGAGGTCCATGGGTAAAATTGGGACTTTTTCATATATATACAAGATTTTAAACTTACTTACCCGGTTTTGTCTAAGTTTTCATATTTACAGAAAGTAACAAAAGTTTTTTACAAGTATATATAAATTCGGTCAAAATCTATAATTTATCTACAACTTAAATACTTATTTTTTGCACATAATCCGATCAAAAACTATAATTTACATACAATTTATATACAATTATATAAGTTGTAGATATTTTATATACTGTTTCTACACTCGATATACAAAATATATACAATTTATTTATGCCTTCTTTTTCGAGTTTCTGTTTGAAATTTCAATCAAAACTACCTCGAATCATCACCAAATTATCTCAAAATTGAGATATAAACTCCAACGGATATTTTCAATCATTTGCAACAATATCCAATCCAAACAAAAAATAATTTCGTAAAATTTGATTTTCGAACTCAAAGCTTCGAAACTTTTTAACGGTTGTCAATGGAGTTTTTAATGGATTAACATAGTTTCCCATTCAATATACTCTCTTCTAGTTAATACTATTTTGTTTAATATTATTTGAGCTAGTGGAGTACAAACGAAGAGGAAAAAAGGACTTATCGGGAGTGTTACAGAAAGGCAAAGAAAGAGGCAAAGTTAGCAGTTACGACGATTAAGAACG